GGAGGGGCAAATATTTGGATGATTTGATAAGGACAAGGCCCACCCATGCAATGGATAAAATTAAAAGCTTAAGCATGTAAAGTCAACTTCACTTTAATATTAATGACTAATAAAGTGACTTAATAACAATAAATCTTCTTGTTTCTATACTCACTATTATTACACTTATTACATCACATTAAAGAGATTCGGCACACAAATTAAGATATTTTTGATTATATCTAAGAGCTGGATCACTCCCAATACACAGCAAATTCTGTTTTTTGGAATAAACTCCGTTAGTTAAAATCAACTCAATCTGAGTGTACATGTGAGACCATCAAATAGACTCCAGCGCAGAGTTAAATAATAACTCTGCTCTTGGAGTTGAATTTAACACTTTTTCGGAGTTAAAATTTATGGAGTTAAAATACTAAACCTACGGAGCGTTAAATGTAACTCTAAAAATAATTATATGAACTCATTACCAGTGTTAAAAAGTAACTCAAAAAAAATATTTAGTTTAACACTTCTTAGAGTTAACATTTATTTAACACAATATAATGTTTTGTGTGGAAATTACTACACTGAACACCATATTCTGATTTATTACTGCCTTTATTTCAGCAAATCGATTTTGGTTCAGATTTGAGGAGGAGTAACCTTCAACCGGTTGTCTGCAGGACAGTCGTATATGAAGATCACAAAAACAACAGTATGAGGCATAATCTAGCACCATTCATTGAGAATGCAAAAATATATTAGCTGAAAATCACGCACATGTGATCGTGGGTCACCACTAATACGTAGCCTAACGTTATAGCTGTTACAATTCAAATCATTGCAGGCCTACACAGCACAACTATCTTATTTTCCAGGGTAACGTTAGACACTGCAATTGTGTAACCACGTATGCCTGTAATGCATTGATGCATCAACTTCACGGTAAAACACTCATTTTCACTTTCAGAAACACGGTGAATGGAAAGACGGTTAGCTAATGTTAACTCGTTTACATTGACAAAAACCCCACGCAAATAGCCATTTCAAAATTTGAAACAAGTAAACAAACGTTCAACAGCAAGTTTGTCATAATCGTTGACGTTAGTAAACAGTATAACTAGCCTATATAACGTAGCAGCTACGCGATGACCAAACGTGTTTGTCAGAAAATATAGAACATTTTTAACTCTTTTACCTACCTCACGACGAGGCACATAAGTCCATTATTCCTTTATCCAGCGGCAGGGTCGTGTCGTGGCGCACTTCTCAAAAATAACTCCAGGTGTAGCTAGTGTTAAACCAAAACACACTCCTGAACACCAATGAATGAACTCCAAAATACAACACAGCCGGGGAGTATCCAATAACACAAAGTGTAGTCAGAGTTAAAAAAAAATAACTCAAAAGTAACTCTTTTTTGCCTAACTCATGATTTTTCAACTCCTGAAATTTGCTGTATAGGCTTCTAAAGGACTGTGTTCGCCATGGCGTTGTTCAAGTTCAACTGTCTGTAGCAGCTAGCCACAACTCGCGAGATGTCCCAACAGTCTCTCTCGCTCTCGCTTTTTTTTTTTTAATCAATTTGATAAAGATAATTAAGTAGTGTTTCATTTTTTATTGTTGCTGTTTGAATTCAAAATTGTTTTAAAATATTATTTGTCACTTAATATTAAAGATTTTTAATAGTGGATGTTTGTTCCCACCAATCGCTGCACAAGTTAAGGATACGTATGATGATGTAAGCACGTTAGTGCGAGCCCTCCCGGAACCCATAGAGAATGCGTTGCAGTGCCTGCAGTTCGAAAAAAAACATCTTTGAATGTAAGTCTATGGGAACACTCTGGGCGATTTTCAGCCAGAGTGAAATCGCCCAAAAAGAGGCGGTACTCCACAGAACGTGACATGACACTGATTGGACTATATGTGATGGCTAGCGTAACTCTCTGGTTGAATGAGATTGTGAGTGTGATGATTCACATGTGTGGTTCACCTGGTGGTCGAATGGGAACCGATGACCCCACTGTTGTACTGTTTGTGATGAAACACAACTTTCTTTTTTTGCGATTTTCCCAAAGTCTATGGGGAAAACGCATAGCTTTCGACCGAGGGAACCCATGCGCCGCTAGCTTCCGAGTTGTCCTACAAAGTGACGTCATAACTTCGGCACTCTATTACATTGAAATCTGTTGAATAAAGTGTAAATTTAATTTGTGGGTATATTAAATAAAAATAAAGATAAGCGAAGATATGGAGATCATTAACTTAATTTTTTTACTGGCTCAAAACAAATACAGCGCAATTGCGCAATACTGTAGTTGCATTCGGGTGCGCCTGAAGTTATAAAAACGATTATTACCAATTGGCATATTTCAATGTTTAGGCCAATTCTATATACCCATTCATATAGCCTACTCAAACAGACGGGCAACTTAACGCAGACAAGTTAGCTCACCGCTTTTAGGTGATATGCCATTTGTACTTCAATCTGTCTCCAGTAGATTGGGCTAATCCAAAAAAGTGTAAACGGGCGCTCTGAAAACACCCCCGTTAGCAATTAGTGCTTCCACCTGATGAAATTAACACGTCAAAAAAAAAAAAAAAAAAAAAAAAAAAAAAAAAAAAAAATCGACCAATTCGAATTTTGTTGATCCAGAACGCATCAACCAATAAATCGACTGGGAGATTACAGCCCTATGAAAAACCCGCTTATGGGCCTTTCACACAGGACGCAGAATGCGCTGCGCTATGAAAACCCATTCATTTCAATGGCTTGCGCCGCGCGAAGACGTTTGTTGCTGCGTCAACCAAAGCACAGCGCACCATTGACTTGCTTGTGCGCACGCCGCGGTCAAAATAGTTTAACTTTTGCTGCTGCGCTCTGTGATTATCAGTGCAGTCAATAGAAACGGGACATAGAAACAAACACTGAAATCAAAATGGATGAACGGTTAGTACTGTTGGAATTTCTGAGCTGCACGAGACAATTTTGACATCGTCAGAAAAGCTGTGTCATGGAGACATATTCTCCATTCAAGCTGGCTTGTCAGGTGTGTTTTTTTAATACATGATAGTTTGTTCCTTTGTTGCCAGCTTTAATGTTTAAATAAATATTTTATTCTAAAAAAGAACTGAGCTCATGATTCGTGTGTTGATTTCTATGTTATATGTGTACACACACACACACACATATTATCTATACACATATCTAATATGGCATAGCGCAGCGCAAAATCACATTGTATCTGAAGGGCTACGCTCGGCTCAACCCAGCGGCCAGTGAAAGGATTGCGAGGCCCCCTAGTGGCGCTCAGGAAATATAGAACGTAAACTTTTATTCCCTTACCTTTGGAATCGGGAATCCACAGGTTCCTGCACAATAGTAGGCATCAAATGCTTTCGGCGCTAATATCCATTCGCTCCAACCGATGTCTGCGAAGTCCACCCTCAGGTAACGGCGCGCACACACTCGCGGTTCACTCCACTGCTTGCGTCTCGCCTTTTTCATGGTCTTCTCGTCAAAGGTGAGCTCCTGCGACCCTCTCAATCCCTCGTGATAGCCCTGGCCTTTTGACAGTGGTTTGGGCTTTTTCGCAAAGAAGCCGCCGTCCCATAACTCCCTGCTCTTCAGGTCGTTGTACTGGACGTCAGGAAGGTAGTTATTCTCCAAGTGATCCAGTTCCCTTCTGATTCTAGAGTTTAAAGAAGCAGTGGGCGCTTTGGTCCGGGTCTCCTCAACCACAGTGGACGGACTGTATCTCTGTAAACTCATAGCAATGCTGTTTGGTTCAGTTATGGTAACGTCGTCAGCGTATACAAGAATGAACGGCAGACTGTGAGGAGGCAAGCGATCATGACGTCTGTGGTGACCGAAGTCAAACTCAACGGCGATCGATAGTTCGCCGTTCGAATGGGCTTGTTTGATGGCCGATGATACGTCTGTCACCTGCCAAAGCAGCTTTCTGTTCGGGGACAGTGTGACGTTGCACAGCTGAGAGGGGACGGCAGCGTTTGGCGATGTTCCTCTAATGATGAGATGTGTCGCGGCGAGGGACTGAAGGTGCTGGAGACGGCACGCGGATCCGCGGGAACGACGGCAGGCCCAAGGCCGCAGACGAACTTGCTGGTCAAGAAAGTGTAGAGTTGACGTCAGTATCGTCTCTGAATCGGGGATGGAGGTCAGGTTGAAGCGGAAAACAACTTTGTGGTGGGACAGCTCTGAAATGAGGCATTTGAAGTCATTAATTGCTGCTCGTGGGTTTTACGCTCATGCACGCATGTGATTGACCAGTAAAGTTTCCAGACAACATCCTCATAAACAACACATTTTTCACATTTTAGATTTAACATCCGACCACAATCTATGGTTTACGAGGTAGTTTAATAAAAAGATAAACACGGCTCCTGAATCGGTCTCTGGCCATATGGTAGTGTTTAGTGAGCCGCTCTCAAGGTTTCTTTCTTTCTTTTTTTCTGTTTCCACTAATACCCTCTGTGTGTTTTAATAGCGCACCTCCAGTGGAAACTTAGCAGCTCTGAAACACTGAAATAATGGGGAAAATGCTATCTGTCCACATATAGGCTAAATCATTTTTAATCCAGGTGCATATGGATTTTTTGCTTATGTAATGAATATTCAAAAGATGGGTTATGGGTCTGTTTTCCCTTATAAGTATAATTAATACTAGCCACACAATAGTTTAGGGCCTCACAATTCATTATTAACTATGACATTTGCCTCAAACTTCTGATTACTGTTTCTTAATACTTAAAAAGGGAGTTGTTAAGATTTGGTATTGGGTGAATAAGGGATGTAGAATATGATCATGCAGAATAAACCATTAATATGTGCTTTTTAAGTAGCCTACTAATAAACAGCCAATATCCTAATATGCATGCTAATAAGCAACACCTTAATAAGGAGAACTGGACCCTAAACACTTAATGAATGCATAAAACAAAAGTAGATTGTATTTTATGAATTATTTATATGTCTTGTATTTATATAGGTATATCGTATTTTTGACAATTTAATGTAGTTTATTAAATATAATTTTAAAAAGTTAAAATGTAGCCTATATATTTTTAAGCACAAACACAACGTGATATGGACTATAAACATGCATTGCTGTATTTTAAATCGTTTTTTAGTAGTTTCACTCACCCTGGACTCCTCTTAAGATTCGGATTGTTCATTAATATGTAATAGACAGCCAATATCCTAATATGCATGCTAATAAGTTAAATAATAAGCAGCAACTAAAGCGTAAACACTTAATGACTGCATAAAACAAAATTAGATTGTATTTTATGAATTATTTATGTAATGTCTTGTATTTTTATAGGCATATTGTATTTTTGACAATTGAATGTATGTTATTAAAGATAATTTATAAAAAGTTAAAATAGCCTAGCCTGCATTTTTAAGCCCAAACACAGCGTGATATGAAATATGGACTATAAACATGCTGTATTTTAAATCGTTTTTTAGTTGTTAGTTTCACTCACCTTGGACTCCTCTAAAGCTTCGGATTGTATTGACGTTCTGTCGAGGTTGATGATGATGATGATGATGATGATGCTTCTTGCTGTATTTATCATAAACTCTGTACATATTAACAGTCATCATGTCTCGAGCAGGACTGTGGAATGACGGTTCTGTTGCAGGAATATCTCCGGTCAGCTCTGACGAGTTCACTAAGCAAACTTTGACGATGTTTAGACAGAGAAAAATGTGAGCCACCACCGCACAAATTGATGCCATATTCGCAACTGATCCCTTTATAATCGAGTAGACGAAAACTAGACGAAAGTGGAAAGCTCTGCGTGAGAAGGACTGAGTCGGTGGAGGATGAGGATGATGATGATGTCTCGCGCTCATACACTTGTTTCTTACTTCTGAAGCGATGACAGATGATGACGTGCAGCCAACGAGAAGCTTAAAGCATCTTTCTGAGGCGATGCAGTTCACACACACACACACACACACACACACACACACACACACACACACACACACACACACACACACACACACACACACACACACACACACACACACACACACACACACACCTCTATTGCTCATGCTGTTCCACACCACGATCCTCTCTCATTGTATTGCACTTTTTTTTGCAATTTGTGGGATTTAAAAAAAACACATGAAGCGTTATAAGTTAAAGACAGATATAATTGTAGCTATACCTTTAAAATGTAATACGTACACTCTTAGAAGAAAATGTTCTATATAGAACCTTAAAAGGTTCTATCAGCGCTACGTATTTGGAACCCCTAAAAGGTTCTAAACACTCTTTAAGAAAGGGTTCCTCTGGGTTCTATATTCCATACTTGGCCAATAGAAACTTTTACCAAAAAAAAAAAAAAAAAAGGTTCTATTTAGAACCATTTTAGAGTTCCAGATATGAAGCGGGGGATGGAACCATTTCTGGTTTTAAATAGAACCATTTCTTCTAAGAGTGTATATTTCGTATAGTGACGGACAAGCAGACAACAAAGAATCAGACAGTTTAGCTTTCGAGTTTTATTGTTTATTTCCCTTGGCATTATAATTCCCAAATTTCCCATACTCGCAGTAGGTTATTTAAAAGTTTTTGTTGTTTTTATTCAAAAATGTTGAAAATAGTATTAACAAAGACGTTTTATGCACTATATTGCGCACGTTGTTAGAGCATATGGTCTCGGTCTTGGTCTCAGTCTTGGTCTGTCTTGGTCTCGGTCTTGGTCTTAGTCTTGGTCTCAGTCTTGACTTGGTCTGTCTTGGTCTTGGTCTCGGTCTCGGTCTCGGTCTTGTTCTTGGTCTTGGTCTCAGTCTTGGTCTCAGTCTTGACTTGGTCTGTCTTGGTCTGTCTTGGTCTTGGTATGTTTTGGTTTTGGTCTCAGTCTTGGTCTCGGTCTTGACTTGGTCTCAGTCTTGGTCTTGGTCTTGGTCTCAGTCTTGGTCTCAGTCTTGACTTGGTCTGTCTTGGTCTTGGTCTGTCTTGGTCTTGGTATGTTTTGGTTTTGGTCTCAGTCTTGGTTTCGGTCTTGACTTGGTCTCAGTCTTGGTCTTGGTCTGTCTTGGTCTTGGTATGTTTTGGTTTTGGTCTCAGTCTTGGTCTCAGTCTTGACTTGGTCTGTCTTGGTCTTGACTTGGTATGTCTCAGTCTTGACTTGGTCTGTCTTGGTCTTGGTCTTGGTATGTTTTGGTTTTGGTCTCAGTCTTGGTCTCGGTCTTGACTTGGTCTCAGTCTTGGTCTGCCTTGGTCTTGGTCTTGGTCTTAGTTTTGGTCTCAGTCTTGACTTGGTCTGTCTTGGTCTTGGTCTTGGTCTCGGTCTTGTTCTTGGTCTTGGTCTCAGTCTTGGTCTCAGTCTTGACTTGGTCTGTCTTGGTCTGTCTTGGTCTTGGTATGTTTTGGTTTTGGTCTCAGTCTTGGTCTCGGTCTTGACTTGGTCTCAGTCTTGGTCTGCCTTGGTCTTGGTCTTGGTCTCAGTCTTGGTCTCAGTCTTGACTTGGTCTGTCTTGGTCTTGGTCTGTCTTGGTCTTGGTATGTTTTGGTTTTGGTCTCAGTCTTGTTCTCGGTCTTGACTTGGTCTCAGTCTTGGTCTTGGTCTGTCTTGGTCTTGGTATGTTTTGGTTTTGGTCTCAGTCTTGGTCTCAGTCTTGACTTGGTCTGTCTTGGTCTTGACTTGGTATGTCTTGGTCTTGACTTGGTCTGTTTTAGTTTTGGTCTCAGCCTTGGTCTTGACTTGGTCTGTCTTGGTCTTGACTTGGTCTTGGTCTCGTCTTGTCTTGGTCTTGACTTGGTCTGTCTTGGTCTCGGTCTTGACCTGGTCTGTCTTGGTCTCGGTCTTGACTTGGTCTGTCTTGGTCTCGGTCTTGACTTGGTCTGTCTTGGTCTTGACTTGGTCTTGGTCTCGTCTTGGTCTTGACCTGGTCTTGACCTGGTCTGTCTTGGTCTTGGTCTTGATCTTGGTCTTGGTCTTGATCTTGGTCTTGATCATGGTGTTGATTTGGTCTGTCTTGGTCTCGGTCTTGGTCTCGGTCTTGACTTGGTCTGTCTTGGTCTCGGCCTTGGTCTGTCTTGTTACCCTCTCGTCTTGGTAGAGTCTTGGTTTAGGCGGTCTTGACTACAAGCATAATATATCGTAAATGCTTGTAAAATGCACCGCATTTCTTTGATTATGTGACGAGGACAGATAACGTGGGACATCCATTAATTCTGGAAAGTAATTGTAAATGTAACCTCTTCAGTCTATTTCTTTGGGTTCTAACAGTTTGGTTGCTCACAGTGCTACAGGCCTGTGAAAGAGGTGGTGACAAGCCATTAAAACACTTCCAGCTGAACTGTTCAGCACAGTTAGGGATTTCTTTTCACACTGGGCTTTACATGAACCTCAGTTAGTTCTCAACTTTGCCCTATAATGAATGATGGAGCAAAAAGGTTTGTGATTATATGCAACATCTTACAACGCCACATTAATTTCTGTCTGCACGCCTTCACTCAAGATAAAAACAGGACTTTAGATGCAGAGTTTGACCCTTAATTCGCCTGAACAGAACAAATAATCATAAAGTCTTTATAATGATAAATATGTGTGATTCTAAACCGTAATCCATCTTACAGGGGCAGAAAATTGTTTGCAAACTCAAATGAAAGGTTGAATAATATTGTGGAATATGTAATAATGTGCCATTCGTTGACTTTAAATTATGTACAATGGAAAAAAAAAGAAAGAAAAACTCTCCGAAGCAAGAGCGTCCAGGTGTCAGGCATTTACAGTAAAGTTTCAGAGTTATAAATGGCTGCTAAAATAAGGTAAACCAACCAAATCTTTCCAGTGTTTTAGTCTGAAAAGGACAAATATGTCTGGTGCCCTGTAATAAATCTCAACAAGCCTCTCTAAAACCGAAAGCTCTCGCTCATTCTCAAGCTTTTTGCACCGAGTGCTCATCTAAACCAAAAGACAGTGTAAGCGATGTTGTTTTTGGACCCTCACCAACCTCCTACTTTTTTCCCAGATTGCTGGCTCCAGCTAAATAACCATTTTGACTGATTCGGTCATGGATGTCCGTGGGCCATGAAAACCTCTGTCAACCACCTCATCTGTGCCAAGATTCATCAGTGGCTTGCTTTTTGACAGCTCCAGTCTCTCAGAAACATCCGGCATATAGAGATCGGTCGTGCAAAACGAGTTATGAACAGAGCCAAATAAACTATATTTGCATTTCCTGAAGAAAAGAGTAATCTGTTATTCAGAGCTGCCTGAAAATGTACCTTTGGCAAGGCACTTGCACGCTTTTGTTTTTAGCATAATCAACTCATAATTCGGCAAATATATGTAAGAAATGCATACATTTCACTGTAATCGGTCATTTTGAAAAAAAAAATTATTTCGGTTTTGACTGTATTCTACAACATCCGGAGACATAAAATAGATCATCAATCATTAGGAATATCCTAACGAGCGCAGAGACCACTGAAACGCCGACCGCAAGCAGGGATAACCAGGAACGTTGTCTTGTTTTGAGTGACAGCCCTTCACCAGAGGCACGTTCTGTCTACAAAAGTCCACCACAGTTATCCTCAGGAATCATCTTCTAACCCATACACTTCTCAAATCACGTTTCCGTGCAATTCTCCCCACCAAAGCAAAGCAAAGGTCATAATTTATAGCAATTTTCCTGTCAGAATCACAGTTTATTCACCATCAGTATGAAAAGCAGGTTTGCTGTGTCAAAGGACAAGTCGGATCATGGTTTGAAGTTATGAAGTTGGACATGATCTATATGCTATACAGATGGCAGTTTAACTTGGGTTGCTTCTATTAAGTGATATCTATGAACACTGAGATAAGAGTTGAAGTGCACAAAAATATGAATAGACAAATAAATCAAAGCTTGAGCAAATTAAAGTGTATTTTTTTAATATAGATAATATAAAATGTGCCAGACCATTTTTTTCAGGAAGGTCCCTCTGTATTTTAATAAAAAAAAAAAAAGGTAAGACTCTTATGGTGTCTGTTGGGGTCCATATTTTTTGTACAAGTAAAGGGTCCAAACCATATTTTTGTACAAGTAAAGGTTCCAAAAGGGTTTTTTTTTTTCACAGCGATGCCATAGAAGAACCATGTTTGGTTCCCCAAAGAACTTACTTACCCCTTTCCCACCAAAGCATTTCGAGAGCCGGTTTGGAGCCTGTGTGGTGAAGAGATGAGTCCCCCTGAAGAGATGGGTCCCACCTTAGGACCCCATAGTATGCCTGATCTAAATATGTTCTCGCGATAACTTGATAAAAGCAGTTGCCATCAAGTTATATGTTTATTTGTTTAGCGCTTTTCATAGTAGGTTGCGTCAACAGCACAGGAGAAAGTCCGCAAAATTTAAAAATATTACTGTTATTGTGTCATGAAATGTAATTTTAAGAGTTTTTAAGTCGAGAATATAGTTGTTTAAAGCTCAAATCTGTGGTTTATTTATAAAGATTGCACCTTTTTAAAACATTGTTCTGACGTTTTCGGAGTTGTCAGAACCAGGGATCAGCAGCAGCACATCTAAAGTTAACTAGCCCGCCTGGAACAGCCTTAACTCGGCTAGTCATTCTGACGTTTGCCGCGGATAAATGCTATGCTACTATGTAAGCTAACTAAAAAACAATAAGAACGAAAAATGTTTAAATTTACCATCTACAGCTTCGGTTATATACTAGTATATGAAACATATAAGTTAAAATACATTAATGACTCCTTATAACATACTTCAAACGTCTCTTATAATAGGCTAAACTGA